CAAGTCTTAGACTGCTTATCAGTTAACCGCTTGTTCAAGGGTCAAGTGTTGACAACATTTAAGGCAAAAGGGTAGTAGAATAAATGAAAGTATGGGGTGGTGGAAGTCTTCATTTGCCAGCAAGCAATTGGGCTATTTCGGAAGTCAGTTGGAAACGATTCGCCTGAGGATTGATCATCAACTGTGGGAGCTAGAAAAGCATCAAAGCCTCAGCACTTAGTAATAAAAGAGAGAAACATAAATTCTCATTGATGTACTTGGTATGTGTTGGGAGTCTCATGCAATTTAACGTGATAGAATCAGTCAAGTAATTCAAAAAGTTGTTTATTCTGAGGCGTTCTCAAAATTTTATCTTAGTATAAAACCAACAGTTGGCGGGTTCTGTTTGCATGCGCAGCTCATTCAAGCATGGCCTATTTTAAACATGTCATTCTCTGATCTTCGCACAATTTTGCATCGTTTGGGAAGAAATACCTCGTATACTTTTAATGTCAGATAAGGCGGCTGATGGAACGCCAAAATACTGTTAAAGCGGAGACATTGGCTTTCTTTCAACTGACATCTAACGTACCCTCCTCTGCTACCCACAATAACAACAAAAGACGGATCATTGGGATGTGTTCGTTTTAAATAAGCTTCTGTTAAGTCAGACACAACTGTGTTCGCGACGACTCAATCCTCTTAACTAATGCTGCACGTCATTAATATGCGGTGGCTTATAGTATAAATGATTGCATCACCAAATCGCACAGTGGAGGGACCACATGTCTTTTAGATGACAGGAGGGGTGAAAGTTACTGTTTCAATGTCAGTTACTGTTTTGCTCTCAAAGGGGAGTTGAATGGGTGAAAAGGATGAGCAAGGCAGTTCATTGCTGCCACACGCGTGTATACACAAAAAACAGGGGAATTTTGATTAAACAATACCTACTTTTTGTACTGGAGTCAAGTTTCGTGGCAGCAAATCTACTTCCGACCCAAGTGACAGCAATTAGGAGATATTATTAGTAAAAAGATATTACCTGTAAATTGGACTAATGCGAAGATACTGTCCTTGAAATGGACGAAATTTATAACTACAAAATGGCCAAAGTTGAATCTTTACCACTCTCCTACACTCGGGAATATGTGCAACCTTTAAAGTCTTCTCGTTTTGACTTTTTTGGGATGTCCTCCTTCCACTGAGACCTCCGAAAATTGCAGAATGCTTAACAGCTCGCGTCGCTGTCACATGCATGCAGACTGTGAATGTGGTGATGAGCACTGCAAGGCAGGAGCCAGTCAACCTGTCATGAATAGGCCAGTGTCTCTAGCACTCAGTGAGTAGTTGCATGCATCCACTCCTCGTACCTTCCACTTCACGCACGCACGTTTACACCAGTGACGCTCATGCTGAAATCCTCTACCTCATTGATTACGATCATGTACAACTGGAATGGATGCGAGCCCTCGCGCACAAACACCAATTTGTAAAGTTGGAGTTAGAGAGTGTACGTTAGCGCCTACTCCTTGCTAAAAACACAAACGGAAATGTTGCTTTCTTAATTGTGAAGGAGAAAGTGCATGAACCAGACTTAAACAAGAGTTGCAATTGGGTTTGCAGTTTCTACTCAGTCACTTTAGTAGTAGGCTTCGGATTGCGAGGAAAGCGAGAGAAATAAATGGCTGTGTAAGGGCTGCTCACTGGGTAATATGAACACATCGATGTAAATTGCCTATTGTTGGAAAAAAGTGTATTTGGTAAGATTTTCCTCAAA